AGAAATTCATGTCTGAGAATCAAATTGAGACATTGGAATGGCCAGGGAACTCTCCGGATATCAACCCAATTGAGAATCTCTGGGCCATATGCAAGAATTGCCTATTAAGTATGGACTGTACAACTATGGAGAAGCTAATCACGGCGTTAATTCATGTGTGGTACAAGGACACAAATATTATAAATGACTGTAAAAAATTAGTGGAATCCATGCCGAATCGTGTCCAAATGTTAATAAAGTGTCGTGGAGATCATATTATGTACTAAAAAATTTTGAGTTTGTATAAATTTAAATAAAATAGCATTTTCTTAGTTTCTGAATTTATTGAGTTTGTTTCAATTAATTTGCACAAGGGTGTAATTTTACATGGCAAAATTCAAAATTTGAGCAAAATCGATTGAAGTGTTCCTGAGAAACTGGATTTTAAATACCTGACTTTTTTAAAATTTGATTTTTCAGGATATAAAGTACGTTTTTAGGACTGATTTCGTGACTTAAAATAGAATTTGCATTATTTAGTTGGCATATTTGAAGTCACCTGCTTGAACCATTGCATCCTTGAACGTGAAGATCCGATCACTAGATCAAAAGTTATGCAGGGTGGTCCGTTTTTTTATTTTTCTCCATACTTTATTTCTTGGAAGATATATAAAAACATTAATAATTAAATCACATTTATATGATAATTTTCTAATAATTTAATATTCACTGTCCAGAAAAGCATAGAGTTTAAAGGTTAAAAGAACAAATTCATAAATAATAAACTATCTCATGAATTAACATTTCTTAATAACTCCTCATATTTATCTTAGCCATCTTTTTATTCAAAACTCATTTGAACATTGGTGTAAATTAAGTGAATATACATCACTGAAAAAGAAAATTCAATAACTATTATCAAGGTTATATCCTGTAAAATATAAAAAATTCTATCCAGTGAAAGTTAGGCATTAGAATTAGTAAGTAGCTTGTGTAATACTCACTAGGATGCAAAGTAGGTACATGCTGAGCCATTCTGTCATCTTTAAGCATATGCAATAAAGTAGTTTTACCAGCATTATCCAATCCCAAAAACAAAAGTTTCCCACTCTTTTTCCACAATCCTGTATAAAACATGCAATAAGAAACTCATGCAATGAACTGAATTTATTTAATCAATTCATAGAAACATGCTGAAGTAAAACCACAAACAAAACAGAACAATATTTTTTCAATTATTTTATACTTATTGGAGAATTTCTTCATGGAACAGAGAATTCATTAAATTTCCAATTATTTATCTAGGGGTGCACAATCTTTTTGAGTGTAGAGTCACTTGCACAGCAAACTAATGAAAGACCATACACATATTTACAGACCATACACACTTTTTATATACAGACTACATAATGCAAACTTTTGTTTTTTCCTGAAAAAAATCTCTTAAGCTACAAACAATTCTAAACAAAATTAATTACAAACAGTGAGCAGTTTAAAAGTTTGCTTTTTCCTCCAGATTTAAAATTTTTTATGTTGCAATAACATTGTATCATTATTCTAAATACCACATACAAATTTCCAAAAAAAAACAACAAAAAAAACAATAGAAAATAACTTATATTAACGATGAAATATGCACAAATAGTATCAAAAAGTCATTTAAATGGTGATCAGAAACTCACATGGTGCATTGACTTTGTATTTAAAGTATAGGAATCTGAATAAGTATAGGAAGCGTATCGGATTTTAAAATCCACATGGACATTGTAAGTTATAAAAGCGCTCCACCCCAAAAAAAAATTATCAAAGCATCACTCGGATTTCCAATTCAAGTCGAAAAGTGATTATTCAGACTCTAAATTCACGCCTCGAAATATGGTATTAAAATAATGGGTTTTTGAAACCATGCAGAATCTGCTAGCAATAATCATTGAAAAGTGATAGAGAAACGGATTTACAATAGAGTCTGCGCAAATTGAACGCATCAAAAAATAATGACTTAAATGTGATTCAAAATTTTACATGTTTATTTTTCACACAAAAAATCATTACACTTAGAAGCTTCTACAGGCTGCATATCAACAGGCGGAGGGTCATATGTGGATCGCAGGCTACAGATTGTGCACCCCTTTTATACTTCCCTTTTCATTTCTTAATAATTTTATTTTTCTTATTTTTGTTTATCCATTCAAGTCCAGATTGTAGTTGGTGGGTGAAATGGATAAACCAAAAGAGATATGATACAAGCAAAATTTAGCAATCAATAATAACTGATCCAAACAGTTTTGAGAGTTGGCTCTTATCCAAACATCCTTGTGTTTTTTGTACAGGAATAAAAATATAATGGAGTCATGTTAGTGATTGTTAGTACAATGCAGTTGCAGATTGCACTCTTAATTGTCATGCTACTTTGTTGTGCTTCAAACTATAAAATGCACACCGCTATCCGTAACTTACTAGGATGAAGGGTTGGAATAGGTTGCGTCATACGATCATCCTTTAGCATACCTAATAAAGTGGTTTTACCAGCATTATCTAATCCTAAAAATATTAATTTAGCACTTTTCTTATACAAACCTGAAAGGTAAAATGAATTAATAGTTTTTCCCCTCATAGTAAAGATTGACATCATTATAAACAACTGAGCGCTAAAGTATACAGTAGAGAACCAATTATCCGGGATGCTTGGGACCATAGCTATCCCGGATGTCTGAATTTCACAGTTTTCTGGATCGACCAAAAAGTGTCGTTATTTGATGTTTTATTGAATCCGAATTACAAGGAAAAAGTGTAATACATGTTAAAGTAAGAGAAAAAAGAAAAGCACTCCTAAATTTAAAAAGAATTTTAAAGCATTTTCCCCATCAAAAATCAAAGAGAAAACGAAACGTAACATAAATCAAAGAGAAAACGAAATCAGCTTGCCACTCTTTAGAGTTTGATTGACGGCCTAAAGGAGAAAATAAAACATCCCTCCCTCCTCTGGATCTAAAGATCTTCAAGGTCACGGAAGAAATGAAGTTTCTCTGGATAAATGGGGGGGGATTCTCCCNAGGGGGGGGGGGGATTCTCTCCTTCCTCACATTTTCCTCCACTCAACTTCAAGGATGAGTCCAATTTCCACTTTTTTTCATAATTGTTCTAGTTTAAAATAGTGGGAAAACCGAGCAAAATTTTTCCCGGTTATCTGGATACCGGATAAATGGTTCTGTACTGTATTTCATAGTGTTTATTTAACATATGCACAAATCAATTTCAAAACAAAAGATTATTCTTAAATCACGACTGACAACTTACATAACAAACACTCGTTTCAGAAAATTTCAAATAAAAAAAATCAACTTAGTTTCTTTTAATCTCAAAAAGCTATTTATTTAAGACAGCGAAACATTATATAAATATCAGGAGCAGGAAAACTAAGTAAAAAGAACAAGTTATTAATTAATTCAGATAGAAAATTTATTAAGTTATTTTAACAAGAATGATTAAATTTAGTATAATTGAAATGGATCTTGCATGAAAATACATTAGCAGCAAATAGTTTTTAAAATAATAAAATAAAACTAATTAACAAAAACTAAAGATAATGCAAACAGACTTTATATAGGATGCAAATAGCTGACAACTGATGTAATGAACCCAGTTGAGCAAAGGAAAATTCAAAACAAAAAGTAGTTACGTAGTGAGATCACAAAAAGGACTTGTGAGCTACGCAGTAAATTCTGCTCTCAGGTTCATACAAAAGCAGTTATCTTATTTAAAATACTTAAAAATTAGCTTATAGAGTCTTTAAATATATATAAATAGTGCTTTACCTTTTAAGCAAAGAATAACCTTTTTAAAAAGAATTATTAATTTTAAAAATAGCTAAGAGCCTGCACCCTAATATCTGAATAAACATACTATAATGCAATACAATCAAAAACAACTTTAAATATCAGATAAATAATTTAAAATTTTTGAAAAGTGATTTTGTATAACAAAACAGATGTTTTGTTATACAAAAATAACTTATGCTGTCATATAAATGTAAGAAGTGAAATAGAACCTTTAAGTGAAATAGATAAAAATAAAATAACAAAATTTATAATTTGACCAAAATATTTCTTTGCATTATTTATATTGTCAATTAAATAGAGTAAAACACATTGTGTATAGAAACACAAATAATGTAGTTAAGAAAAACAAATACATTATTTACTTAATAATTCAGCAAATGAAAATTTCGTTTTTTGGTGGAAAAAAGTACTTTTGAACTGTTATTATAAACGTGCGTAACCAGCATGCCTAAAATTCTTAAATCTTATACCCCATCTTCGATTCAAAGAAATAATGTTAAAAAATAACTACACAATCTGCAGGAAATGAATTTGTAATTGCTCTTAACAATAACTTAAATATTTTTTTAAAAAATGACACAAAATGGTTTATTAAAATTTCTAAAAGGTATCTAGATAGTATTAGTTTAGATATAAAAGTCCTTTGGCTTTTAAAATAATTCTTAAGATTTTTTTTTTATTTTTAAAAAAGCATCTCAAAAACATTTGTAGATGAAGGATATAGAAAAAATACTATTATTTTTCCAAAGGGAAATGTTAGAAATTTGCTATAATTCTATTATTAAAGATGCGCAAAATTGTATCTTATTTTTAATTAGACATATTTAAAGATAGATAAAATTGCAACACAGTTTAAAGAACAATTTTGCATATTGTCATTAAAACTGTGTTTGTTGCAGTCTTCCAGATTTTTTTTTTAATCTTAACTTTCAACCAAAAAAAGTTAAGACATTTTCTTTGATATAATCTTACAATATATGAATAAAATACAATTCCTTGATTAAAACATAATTATATGTTTCAATCAAGATAATTATTCACAGAACTTACCAAGGAAACTTAAAACGCCAGCAAACCAGTCAAAGAGGAACATAGTGAAATCTAAAGAAAAAAATACTAGGCATTAATTAATTTTTAAAGATAGGCAAGAAACAAACTGAAAAATCAAGTCCTATAAAATTAAAATCGCGAAATATATTCAAACTTAAGCTAAATCACAAGCTTAAAGCAATTTTGAAACGAAGTTAACATAAGAGAACAAAAAAAACAAATATCAAGAACTATTTATAAAACAGTTTAAAAAATTACATAAATATTATGAGTACAAGACTAAACAACTTTATGTATACGCAGTTTGACAGATAACAAAGTAAGAGTACAGAGAATAGCTTTGAGAAATTAAAGGAAAAAAATAATATGCATGCACAGTTTATTGAATTAAACCTTTTATCAAATCAGCTTTTAATAAGAGACAACTTAATTTAGGAAAATTTGTGTGTACGCATCGAATCAACGTATCACCTGTCCTTGTAGTAAACAAACATAACATGGATAACGCAAAAAGTTTCCGGCTTTATGATGACAAGAGAATTTTTATACAAACAGAGAAGAATCTTTAATTGTCGAAAAATACAATATTTCCTAAAAATGAATTATAATTAAGTAGGACATTACCTTTTGAAGGCGTTCAGTACAAGTAATACACTACGATTTGATGCAATGATACTATGAAAAAGAAAGTTTAAAAAATTAACAAAACGATCGCAGCAGAATAAAACCAGATGTGCAAATATATTCGACTGCAGCGCCAATTCTTTTTAATTTTAAAAAAAAATAATAATAATTTTAAAACTTTTATCTCCAGCTTTTTAATTGATTCTTGCCTAATAAAGGTTTAGAAATAAAAGTATTTTTTTTAGTTTGATTAATTAGGTTAATTAATATGAATATACATTAATTGGAAAATATATCAAATTTCATGAGCAAAATAATATGAAGGTAAAAAAAAATTCTTTTGATGAGCAAGGAAGTTAATAAAGCCTTTATAATTTAAAAATCAAGTTAAATTTAAGCAGTTCAAATTTAAGTAGTAATTAAGTAACTTAGCTGTAACTGAAAAGCTGACTGGCGGGAAACTATTTACTTTCCACCGCGGTTTCGTAGTGCTAGATTGATATTAGACGTGAAGTGTCAGAGGCTTAATTTATTATAAATATATCTTTTTAATTAATTAATTTATTTTTCATTAAAAATGTTTGAAGCAAGATTAGTCCAAGGAGCATTGTTAAAAAAGGTGTTAGAAGCTATTAAAGATTTGATTAACGAAGCAACATGGGATTGCTCAGCTACGGGTATTAGCTTGCAAGCTATGGACAATTCTCATGTAAGTTTAGTGTCTTTGATTCTGAGAAGTGATGGATTTGATAAATTCCGATGTGACAGAAATCTCTCCATGGGCATGAATCTTGGAAGGTTTGTAAATGTATTTAGATTCATATTCACTTTCGCCTTTAATATTTGCTTCAATTTTATGTAACTTCATGGCCATTTCTGAAACGTTTTTTCCTTTAAAAATTAAACTTTTTAAAACTCATTTAGATATTAAAAAAAAAACTGTTTGCTATCTTAAATACCAATTTCCGAATTGTGGTTTGCTATAGTATGATAGCAGGGTGCGCAGCATTTTTAAAAAGTGCTTAAAGGTACTTATTTTCCTTTTTTAAAAACCTTTAAAGGTACTTTTCTTCATTAAATGTTTTTAAAGTGCTTAATTTTCCCTTTTTTAAAATGAGATCAGATGTTTCCATTACTATGTTGATTTTCACTTCGAATTATGCAAAAAGACACAGTTCATTGTTCTCTTCAATGTTTTCACAATTCAGTCAACCCCAATCTATTCCGGAGGCATGATCCAAAATTTCACGATTTTTGACAACTGTTGTCAAAAACAATGCCAAATTTTTTTTTTTTAAATGACTAACAAGGTAAAAACCCTCAATTGTCAAAAACTTTGCAATAAAGTGCTTAAAAATATTTTTTGAGTGCTTAAAAGGTGCTTATTTTTTGTTGAATAATTTGGTTATGCACCCTGGATAAGCTGTTTAAAAAAACAACTAAGGCAAAATTTTTAGAAATTTTAAAATGTTACTTTTTAAATTAAATAAAATGCATGCTTATATTATTGTGCCTCAATGAAGAGAAACATTGAAATGCCTTAAAATCAAGCAGTGACGTTATTCTTCCATTTACCCTTTTTCAATGCTTCTGAAAATATTAAAGTCATATGGCAACTTTTACTATTATTTAAATATGTTATGATTTTTACATGTCTGCCTTTCTTAATGGTCCTTAAAGAAAGTTTTCATACTAAATCTGTTAGCATTTTAAAATATACTAATTTATTTTAATAAATTTTCTAGACTTCCTGAAGCTTATTATAAAAAAATGCACGAGCATTTAAGTGTTACTGTTTGAATATTGAAACTTGAACGTAATATGTACAAATAAAAGTATACTGTAAGAAATTTCAATTTACCAGCAATTATATGGGACTTTATTTTGATTTTTTTTTTTTTTTTTTTAATAGTATGGGAAAGATTTTGAGATGTGCAGCAAATGATGATGTAATTACCATCAAAGCTCAAGATGATGCTGATACTGTTACTTTTGTGTTTGAGGCTCCCAGTAAGTATTTTATCACCTAAAATATTTTTTATGAAATTTGTTAATATTTCAGATGTGCTTCAGCTCTGTGAGTAAGTGGAGTCTTTTTTCTTTTTTTTTTTTTGCATCTAGTTTCCATCTAAAGACGTAATAATTGTAATAGTGCAATAGATTGATATGTTAAACTAGGGAACCATCCACAAATTTTAGAAAAGTGATCTGTGGTGTAAATACCACTATAAATATAAAATACCAATGCAATAGTATATAAGGCATGTTAACTTGATTCAATCTTGAGGAACCTTTTGATAGATGAAGGTTGACATAGTCAATAAAATATATCTAAACCAATTTGTTATTTCAGAATTTTTAGGACTTAAACATAATATTATAAAGAAAGAAACACATTTTCTTATGAAGTATTTTAAGGAAAAATTGCAGTACTAAATTATTATTTTTAAATAATGAAATATAAAATCTAGTATGGTGGACATCATGCATCCTAAACTGAAAATTACACTGAATTCTATTGGTGCTAATAAAGTTTAAAATTTTATTTAAAATATTCTATTGTAATTTATGCATCCTTTTAACTGTCATGTTCAAAATAATCTGGAGTACAGCGCTGGTGTTCCAAACTGTCACGCCTGAGTATTACGCTGGATAATTTTATTTTAGTGCATCATATTGTTAGACCTGATTAATTATCGGTAATAGTTTATATAGGCTTCATCTAAGTATATTTTATTCTACACAAAGCATTTGATTTTTGCCATTAAAAAAATTTACAATTGATTTTAAATGTATTTGGCTCAGATACTGTTTATATTCATCAACAAAAAAAAATTACAACAGCAATAATTTCTTTTCTTTGCAGATCAGGAAAAAGTGTCAGATTATGAAATGAAATTGATGAACTTAGATACCGAGCATTTGGGTATTCCAGTAAGTATTTTTTTACCTTGTATTCCTCTATGTTATATATTTTTTCATTTATTTAATACTAAGTTTGCGTTTTAGGAAACAGATTACAGTGTAATCATTAAAATGCCATCCACAGAATTTCAAAGAATTTGTAGAGATCTAAGCCAAATTGGAGATTCTATTTCAATAGTATGCACAAAGGATGGTGTGCGCTTTTCAACTAGTGGTGATCTTGGAACCGGTGAGATTAAATTACTTTTAATAGGCTAAGTAGTATAAATAAAAGTATTTAATTGTTTATGCTCAATGTTATAAATATTTATTTTTTCTATTTTGGACATTTTCTTTCTGCTTCTTGCTCCGTTTTATTGGGAAATATCCTTTGTAAAACATATTTGCCTTCAGTTTTTTTTTTCATTAATTTTTGTTTAATTCTTAACTGTTTATTTATTTTTCAAAAGTCTAAAAGGAGTTAAAGCTCATTTTTATTTCTTTTTTTTTTTTCTATTACTGTAAAGAATAACAGGCAGAGCAGTTTCATACGTACTAATTGTTTTTGGTAATTACTGATTGAATTGCTTTTCTATATTTTACTTTTAATTAGTTTTTAGAATTGTCTTTTTTATCAACGGTATAGCAGATCAATAGCTGTTTCTGCTGCTGTAAAAACATGCTCATGAAATATTGAATACCCCTCCTCTGGTGTATTTTTTCCCCTTCAAATTTCCAACCCCCCAAAAAAAGCATTTTATATTTATGTGCGTGTGTTCAATTTTTTTATTTTTTATTATTGTGTATATGTCCTCTCCTAAATTCAAAAATGCTAAATATTTTTGTCTGCTGGAAGTTTTTTGCTTGACCTATTGGTGGTAAAATGTGTGATGCCCCATCCACTGATCAGAAAAGACAAAATAATTTTAATTGAAGGTGGGAAATCTCTGCAAAAATTGTGAAGGAAGTGGGACTAGTTGCGTCATCTCTTAGCAAAGTTACGAGATTTAAAGAGACGTGTAAGTAGCGATAAATTCAATTTAAATTATACAATTTTCCTCTTTGGGTTATAGCGAGCAGCTCAAAATCAGTGAACAGTGCGACACTGACAAAGGAAGAAAAACAAATCTTGTTTTTCCTTTCATTGATCTAACAGAAGTTCTCTCAGAGTTTAACAAATGAAATAGTTTCAAATTCCAAATCTGCTGCAGCTAACTATTTAGTATTGTTTTTTCATTAGAAATAACTAAAATAATTGGTAACTGAAACTTATTGAAAATATAAATTTATTATTTGATTATATTTATTTTGAGGTATACATTCATTTCTTATTTGTTATTAATGTGAAACTGTTATAATATTTCTTGCTCTTTTTTTCTCTCCATATATAGAGTAATACATATAACGTCATTGCCGAGTGGAAGGATAAAAACAGGTCTTAGGCAGGGAAGGAGGGTGCAAAATTTATTTATTAATTATTAGACAGAGAACAGCTGTAAAAGTGGTCACGAAAAGTTGTGCTCCTCGATATAAGTTAGGGAAAGTCTTGCGATGGAAATCTTAGTAATTGTAATTGGTTTATTAAATAGATCATGAAATTCCCACAAAGAGCAAAGGAGAAAATGTCTTGCTTTTAATGAATGTGTACTTGAGCCAAAACTAGATTAAAGGACAGGGTGTGGATTTAAAAGTATGAATTTCGATTAGAATAATAAAATAAAAGAAAACAATTTACAGAAAAGAAATAACATAAAAAGATTAATTGAAGCTTTTTATGTTCCATCCCCCCCCCCTCCTCCCTAAATTTTTTTTAATTACAATCCAATCTTTTTCAGTTTTCAATGATACCTGTTTTATCCTATCATTAGCAAAGTATTATTTTAAACATGCTGATTAGCTTCGAATTAGTACATTTCACAAAAGATATTGTGTTTCTTATTGTTTTTTCATAAAGGTAACTTAATTTTAAAGGGCGATTGATATAAAAAAAATTTTATTTTAATTCTTTGTTGAATTATTGCCAAATCCAAAGCTATGGGTCGTAAATACCTGAATATAAAAATAATAAAATTTCGATTAGTGTTGCAAAATCACTATTTAACTCCAAAGTCTAGCAGAATAACTGTTAATGGTTATTAGTAAGTAGTACTGTCTTAATGTGATTTAAGCCTTACCTCTAAGCTTTCATTTGATATAATTTATTTAAAATATTTTTTAGGTAATGTCAAGTTATCTCAAACGGCCAACATTGATAAAGAAGAAGAGGCTGTAATTATTGATATGCAAGAAGCTGTATCTCTAAACTTTGCTCTGCGTTATTTAAATTCATTCACCAAAGCCACTCCTCTGTCTGCACAAGTACAGCTCTCACTTTCACCTGATGTTCCATTAGGTAAATCTTATCTCCTGCTAAACAATGAATTTTTAAGAATTTGTATTTTACTTAGTTCAGCAATATGATACTTAATTGTACTTAAGACTTGTAATGACTGTTGCCATTTCAAAGAATTTGAAAATGTATTCTAGTATATACATCGATATATAAATATCTAATTTTTGCGATTTACCTTAAAGATGTACTTCAATTAACTATATCGTTTGTTAAAAAGATAATTATCTTATCAATCCTTTATATTCTATGTTATTTTGATTATTATTATAAAAGTAAAGGCTTAAAACTAAAGTTGTTTCTTTATTATATTTTAAAATATTAACATGATATTGCTTTATGCAAGATTTTTATAATTATTTTTAAGTTACCACTTTACAATTAAGCAGTCAAGTAAATATATTTACTTTAGTAATAAATTTTGTAAAAACAGGAAAGCAGGTTAGTCGATGTATTCCTTTAAAATGATTACTATAAATTAACTGTAACTTTTTTATTTTTAGTTGTGGAATATAAGATAGAAGATTTTGGCTACATAAGGTACTACCTGGCCCCAAAAATTGAAGATGCAGATGATTAAATATAAACTTTTAAAGCAATTGCTTGTTCATATTCCATTCTTTTCCACCACATCTAGAATGCCATTGTGTATATTTTAAGAACAAAGTTACGAATTTTATTGGCATGTATTAATAGCTGTTTTAAATGATTTTTTTTTAAATAAATAAATATTTCAATTTCGTTTATTGTAGTTATTGTTCATTTTGACCCAAATTTCATTAAGTCTTAATAATGTAAGCTGAAGACAGATATTAGCCAATACATTTATTGGATGAATAATCTTATATACATAATATAACTGAGAAAAAAAGATTTGCTAGTAACATGCTGAACTTATATTTTCTTTGCAACAATTTGTTTTCCTTCATGAAGATGATGGGTGGTGATTAAAGTGACTTAAGAGGGTATATTTTAATTCATTGAGTGCCAATGTAATCTTGAAGCATCTTACATTTTCTTATTAAATCTTCATCATTTGGTTTTATTTTCAGAGCTGCAGTAAGTTCTATCAATCCTGCGAAGAAAATATATTAATATAGTAATTTTATTTAACCTCTGTTCAGAATACTTCAGCTTACCATATCATGCAAATTTGTTTGGGTTTTTTTCTTTTTTTTTCTGTTTTATTAAAATAGGGGGAGAAAATAATTGTACATTAACATTACTTCTAGTATAGCTAATTCTTTCAAGTCTTTGTGAACAAATCTTTATATTTCAGTTATTACATTTTAATGCTAGATAATTATAAAGAAGGCAGGAAATAATTAATTTTAGTGTATTATTTGAATAAAATGTATTTCAATTACTGCATGAAACTTATGAATCATGTGTTATATTTTATTTTATTTACACAGTTATGTCTGAAAGATGGCACATTTTTTGGTGATAGAATATTTTTGCAACGGTCAAACCCAAAATTTGTTCCACTCGTACATTTAAGCGTGAGAGCAAGTTTAGTAAGTCTTGGCAGTTACCTTCCACGGGTAGTTCTAGCATTTGAAATGCATTTCCGCGTATTTTGTGCACTTCAGCTCGAGCATCAGCATTGGATTTTGTGAGAGGTTGCAACAGCTCTATAGCCTAGGAAAAGAATACATTAATGAATTAAAATTTGTGCTAAGAAGGCTATTATTTTAACTATAATTTTTTTTCTTTGACTCGATGAAAAGAACTTCTAAAGGTTAATAAATTGTTTTTAATTAAGCATATACCAATATTTTTATCAAAGAAATTGAGTAGTGAATAACTTTCTTATAGGGCTCGATTTTCATTAGCATAGGAATCGATTACAGGAGCACAAAATAGAAACAAATATGATAAACAGAAAACTTGATTACCTTTTTTAAATAATACTATACCTTTGAAGAATCTTCAATGGCTTTATGTAAGTTATGCAACTGCAAATGACAAGCTGCCCTTCCAGAATACAAACTAAAATGTATGAAAATAAATATTAATTATTTAAAATGGAATCTTAAAATAATTGAAAATTAGAAGACTCACCTGTACAGATTCGGACACATTCGAATAGCGAGACTAAATGCATTCACTGCAGATTTGAAATCTTCGTTTCTCATCATGAATCTAAAATTTATAATTACTCATTTGAATAGAAACGTCGATATTGGATCCTTATAAAGCATGTAACATGGTATAGATATTTAAATATTTTGATTTACAAGGATATACAAAAATGTTGAGATGTTACTTAGTTGATTAAACTGTCGGGTGAATTTGTAATATGGTCATTTTAATTCTATTCGAGTTGGAATTTATTTCAACTGAAAAGGCTGAATGAAGTTTTAGTTAATACCTAATAACATATAAATTAGTTTAAAACTATTTTTAAGACTGAAAAAATGAACTTAGTAACTATTTCATAAATATAATTGCTGCAAATGTGCTTGGCTTAATTTTAAAAGAGGAGATCCGTTATTGTAATATCATTTATAAACGAAAATGTCTTATTTGATATTAATTTAATGTAATTTACTGCTAGTTTGTATCAAAGTCTTTTCAAAAAGTGATGACGATACAAAGAATATTTAATGTGTGGGCAGGGAAACTTTTTATGGTCAGCATATTATCAGAGTTTGAGCCTAATTGCTGTTAGATTTTCTGATTTTTAACTACAGGAAGGAAAAAAGGCAGGATGTTTTCACTCTAAAAGTTGTTTGTCATTTAACTGGTTTGATTCAGAGAAATGACTGTGATATTGGCTTTCCTAAGTTGGCCATAAAGCCTGTGGCGCAAAACTTGATTTGCTAAGAATTATTTTTCAATTGAAATCTTTACTGTTTGGAGATTAATGAGCAGAGCTCCCAATTTAATATAAATAAGATTATTTTTCCAATGCCCATCTGTGTTGAAATTTTGTCAATTCAGGCGTATTAGGGCATATAGATTTGTTGGCCACTCTTTCAGGGGCACCATATTTTGTAGGTCAACATTGCTCCCATGGTAAGGACAGATACAGGGATGAAAGAGTACAGAGAATGAAAGAACATCCCAGCTTTGTCCGGGATTCGATCCCAGAACCTTTCTAGTGCAAGGACAGTTTAGGTACTTCTCCAGACAGTCCAACCACCTTGTTGCCGGTCTCCGCCTCTTCCTTGTACCCTGAATCATTGAAAATGTTAGTTTTTTAGCTGAATCAGAATCTTCACAACGGCAAACATCTCAGCCATCTGATCTTGCATGACTTAATAACTTTCAAAATATTCGGTTGTCTATATTTATTATACACTACACTTCATGATTATATAAACTTCTCCGAGTATTATTTTCTTTCACTACTCCGAAGATTTTTCTTTCAAAAGCGAGTAATCTATTTTCTTCTGCTTTATTAAGTGCCCAAGTCTCGCTGCTATACAAAATAGTCGGTCTAATAAGTGTTTTATATAAATTTACTTAAGTACTCATGGAGATGAATTTAGATTTTAATTGGTTCTTCACTCCAAAGTAACATCTATTAGCCATCAAAATTCGGTTTCCAATTTCTACTCATTTTTATTGGTAGTAAATGTGCCCGGGTACTTAAACTGGGTGACTCCACTAAAGGTATGATTTCCAATCTTGTACTTTGGAACTAACCACCTTAAATTTAGTTTTCTCTTCCCTTATTATTAAGCCCAGAACTTCGACAGCATCCTCAAACGTCTCTACCACATCCCGTTTCGTTCGGCTAAGGTCAAATATATCAATGTCATCGGTATAAGCCAATAAAATTGTATAGATCTTTGCAGAATGATGTTCCTAGGGTTGATTCCTGAATTTCTTATAACTTTTTCAAGGGTAATGTTAAATAAGATGCATGATGGAGAATCTTTGTCTGCGACCTTTCTCAGTATAGAAATTAAATGAATTACCCATAACTATATTTCTAGCAAGCAGCAATGTATGCCCAAAAGTGCTCAATATTTCCTCTGATCCGCGGGAGAAGAAATTAAATTTTTAAAAAAAATCGAAATAATGCTACGTGTCTCTTTACCTAATACGTCCAATATATGTTTTTAACCTAATATGTATTTGTTTGTTTTTTAATTTACTGATTCAAAGTTTTTGTGTATACCTAACAAAATAATATGCGTGATAAACAATTGCGTTTCGATAAGGAAACCTGTTTACTACTATAAAATAAAATTATTTATGACAAATAAATAGCTAAATTTTAAAGTTTTTCCACCCTAAAATCTAAGGCAATAAGCGAATAACAATAATAAAAAAAAAATTGAGAACAAAAATTTTTCTATTTAAAAAAAATTACATTTTAGTGTAATTTTAATCCACCCTGCTTTAACACCTAAGAAAGCAAACATCAATAATGATCTATTTCATTCCATAACTAAATATCTTAAAAAATAAAGAATTTTTAAAAATGTTCAAGTCACTATATTTCCTAAGTTTCAAGTTGTATACATCTATGTACTATAAAGAATGAAATAAACGAGATACTTTTCATTACTAACTCAGCTTTAGATTTCAACCAATCAGGATTCCTTTCTTCCAGGGAAAGATCTTTCAAATCCAATTTTAAACTTGTTTTAGCTGCTAATTGTTTATCGAGCCACTAAAATAGATTAATAATTATGTATTTTTATTTATTTTATCATAGTGTCATTAAATATTAATAAATATTATATTTTGTGTCCATCTTGGAAGCACAATTCAACAGAAATTCAGTCTATAATTATGAATTTATTTACTTAAAGGAAAAAAATACCTCTTTTTCTTCAGCTTCTTGCGATTCTCTGGCAGCGGTTGGAAATGCTCTCGGAGTGAAAGTTATCTTAATGCAACCATTTTTTCTGGTTTCTGGAATTTTCTTCGAATTTTCAAGAATCTGTTTCCTAACATTTAAATTAATATGTATACATAAGTCCCGTAATTTGAAATAGAAACAACACATTTTGTTAAAATATTTTTTGAAACTGTAAATACGAGGTAGCTAATTTCATTTGGAAAATGTGATAAGCCACAATTTTTGCTTTTCGTGAAATAACTAGAATTGAAAAAATGATTGGAAAAATATTCTCGCTTTAAGTATACAGAAAAATAAAAATAATTAAAGTCATCATGTTATATAAACTTTTATAGAAAATTTAATTTTAAAGGCATCTTCTTAATTCCTTTTCTCCAAATTATTAGTTTCCTCCAGATCCATTATATATATGTATATATATAGAGAGAGCAAACAATGAAAATAATATAATAAAGATCAATGAAAAGAGAAGAAAAAAAATTATTAAAATAAAATATTTAAAAAAAATTTTTTTATTTAAAATGCCGGAAAAATGAAAAAATATAACCTCGTCATCAGTTTACACGATTATATCTGCTGATATATATATATATACACACAAAAATTATGTATTTTAATAATAAATGTGTAGTAATGTTTTGTACATTTTAATAACATCCATCGTTGCTCTATCCAATGCTAAAAAGAAGCTTAGTTGAAAGAAAAAGCTGATCAATTAAATGCTTAATGAATTCATACTATTCTTTGCACTAATTTATGTATTGAGTTGTTCATGTTCCATAAAATATCAGACATAAATAACAGAACCGAACCAGCTGTATTTGTTTAATATGCTCTGAAATTGTCATAAATGTTAGTTCCTCATTTGCATAATTCCATGACTCAAACTATGACTTAGTGGTTTAACATGACAATTTATTTTTGCAGCGATATTCTGTTGGCGAGAAAAATTTATCTCTTCGTTGATGACGCTCTTTGGGTAACGGAACTGTACCTCAGTCAATAATTATTACTTTTTTTCCTCTTCATGTTAGAAAATCGCCACCGCTGTTTTGAGTGTTAAACTTTACGTTATATTTTGTTTTGCATTTGCTGTTCATAAGACTTAGAAGCTTGAAATTACGAAGATTTGTAGAAAAATGTTCAAGGAGTACGATAGAATAATAAATAAAGAACTTAACATTTGATTATTAGTTCCAGAATTATTAATTATTACTACATACGAAAAAACCTGCAGGAATGCAACAACACAGTTGAAATTCGATGTGCTGAAAGAGCCATTTTACGTTTAATATTAATTCCTTTCTAAAAAGGAAAAAAAAGATAAAGGAATTTTAGATTTATATACAAGTAATACTTCCCGTATTCTCCTATAAGTTTTTTCTTTTCATCTCTTTCCCTTTAAAAATTTACAAATATAAGTAAATAAGGTTTTTTTTTTTTCTTCCGAGTTTAAAATTCTGTATATTCCATCCCATTCAGTAGTAGCTTTCCTATGACCCGCGGGTCAGACACTGACTCACAAAGGCTTTTTTAATGACCCAGGGTTTGATTTTTGTAAACTTATTTTTCATCTTATAATTAAATATATTAAAAACGGACAATTGAATATATCAAAAAAATTAAAATCTAAATATCTNTTTAACATGACAATTTATTTTTGCAGCGATATTCTGTTGGCGAGAAAAATTTATCTCTTCGTTGATGACGCTCTTTGGGTAACGGAACTGTACCTCAGTCAATAATTATTACTTTTTTTCCTCTTCATGTTAGAAAATCGCCACCGCTGTTTTGAGTGTTAAACTTTACGTTATATTTTGTTTTGCTGTTCATATGACTTAGAAGCTTGAAATTACGAAGATTTGTGAAAAATTTTCAAGGAGTACGATGGAATAATAAATAAAGAACTTAACATTTGATTATTAGTTCCAGAATTATTAATTATTACTACATTACGTCAATTATTATATACAAAAAAACCTGCAGGAATGCAACAACAGAGTTGAAATTCGATGTGCTGAAAAAGCCATTTTACGTTTAATATTAATTCCTTACTAAAAAAGAAAAAAAAAGATAAAGAATTTTAGCTTGATATACAAGTAACACTTTGTGTATTGTCCTATAAGTTTTTTTCTTTTCATCTCTTTCCATTTAAAAATTTTCAAATATACATAAATAAAGTTTTTTTCTTTTTTTTCCGATTTCAAAATTCTGTATATTCCATCCCATTCAGTAGTAGCGAACCTATGACCCGCGGGTCAGACACTGACTCACAAAGGCTTTTTTTTAATGACCCAGGCTTTGATTTTTGTGAACTTATTTTTCATCTTATAATTGAATATATTAAAAAAATTAAAATCTAAATATCTATGTCGAATATAAATATACTTTATGGGCTGAAACCTGAGAGTTCACCACTCTGAAAAAAATTAATAAAAGAGTTTTTACTTAATTTTTCTATTATTTTTTTATAAAAATTTAACAAGGAATGCGTTAAACTGTAAATACGGGATATGAGCTTAGTATTAAGAAATTATTTACGAATAGGCAACAATAGATTTCTGTATAAATATGCTTTACTTTTATCATCATTAGTATACGTACAAATGCTGGGGGGGGGAAGCAGACCATCCTGAATAACTTTTGATCTAATGATCGGCGGATCTTAATGTTCTAGGACTCAATCTTAATGGTTTGAGGGGGTGACCTCAAATAGATTAATTGATAAGTGCAGACGATATTTTAAGTTATGAAATCATGCACAAAAACTCACTTTCTCTGAGTAAACATTCCTTCTTTCAGATGGATTTGCATCCCCGAAACATAAGGAGTTGCCGCAATCTGAGAAATATCGCCCACATAGTTTGATCAGGAGAGCGGTCCAAAGTTTGAACCCCTTAATGTTAATTTTACTTTTTACTCATTCCGCCATATCCAGAGAATTTTTTTGGTAAATTTAAAAATTTTTAACACAATTATAAAATTTGTTAATCCGAAGATAATTTCATGAGAAAAAGACGTTTTTATAAATATTTATTGTTTTTTTATTATTTATTCAATAATAGTTAAACAATTTTTGAATTTTAATATTTTACAGTTTTAATATTTTACATTTTTGAATTTATGTAGTTTTACACTGTAAAACGCAAAATTGGATCAATAATTCCCGAGGAATCGAATTTTAAAAATACGGCTGTTTTAAATTTCGATTTCTCATTTCTGATTCGAAATTTCGATTCCCTCAAACCATTAAGATTTAGTTCTACTACGCAAAGATCCGATCATTAGATCAAAAGTTATTCTGAGTGGTCCGTTTAATTTATTATGTTTAGCGCACTGTATATCGGCAACCTCCCAGAGATTTTCACTATTCTGCAAATACTAATACTATATATATACTGACAAAATTTCTTATTTTCAATTTTTTTTTAAGGAACACGAATGAAATTATTACACGTTTATTCGACTTTTTTTAAATAGCTATGAAAAAATCTAATCCTTTCATTGCCATTGTCAATCACTCGTCTTAAGTGCTGTTATTTCCTAATACATTCAATCCAGTTTCATCCGGAATAAAAATTATCTAGCGATACAAATTAGCTTATAATAATAGACTTTTGTATCATCCATCAAGGAAATTCGCGAACACAGTACTTTTGAAACTGTCGACACGTTATGAATATGCAGTTGTTAGTTGTTAGCTTAATTCGATCTGAGAGCGAAATTCCAAAACAGAAAATATTCAATACCTTATAGCAGTGGTCCCCAACCTTTTTGTACCTAAGAGGAAATACCAGAATATCGGTCGAATGGCGGGCACCATTTATTTTTTCAAGATAAATTTATAGTTGGTAGACATAGGTAATAATACACACTACATAGTGCACAAAAAATTAAATTTCAAAAATTAATTTAACATATGAATACAATTAATATTTTTGTGTAAAATAAATGATTACTAAATTGCTTTCAAAACATACGAAGTATAAAAATTATTTATAAAATACAGTGGCATGTGGTGTTTGGCATGGCATTTCGGTGACCAGCGCTACATAATTGGGAGAATATGATGCTCTTTTTAAGAATGGAATTTAGTCCTTCAAATATATTCCAGAATTTCTCATGTGAT